GGGGGGGGGGGGGGGGGCAGAGCAGCGGGGAGAGGCCCAGGCCGGGGGGTGATTGCTTCCGAGGCTCTAAACGTGCAAAGAGCCCCCATTCCCCGCTGCGGGGGTTCAGGTCGCAGGTTCGGGAAGGTGGGGAGCCTGCCGCCGGGTGTCTGAGGAACAGAGGGTGTTTTCTTTCCAGAAGGTGACGGGGGCCGCTTTTGCACGGGCGCCGGCGGGTGGAATTTGACTTCAAGGTGATCAGCAGCGCGTCCGTCTGGAAATGCCACGGCAGGCTTTGAAGTGGAAGTCTCAGTTTCAACGGCTAAACAGTTTCAGATGTGACAATGTAGTTTTACGGGCCTAATAACTCCAGCACATGTGCAGCGGGGGCTGGGGGCCGCACCCACGTGTGCTGAACTGACTCCGACGTGAGGGTTCAGAGACGAGACCCGAGCAGCCACCGGGGGAGCGGCACCGCGCTCCAGGCACGTTCAGTTTCTTTCTTTCAAAATGACACGGAGCTTCAAGACCTGCGGGGGCGTTTCTAGATTTTGCCCATCAGTACTTCTGGGCTCAAGCTATTTTAAGAGATTTTGTAATCGCCAAATTTGAAGTTTGCATCTAGAAAATCATTAACTTTGGGATCAAAGGGTCGCCTAAAATACACATATGTCCTCGCAGCCTTACACTCTGCTGCAGCTTCCTGGACGAGGCCAGAAGATAAGCGTCTCCGCCTCAGTCTCCACCTTGTTCCACCACAGCTTCTCACAGTCCCATCACTTCAATGAGAAACGACGAGGTGCACCCCACACACCCGCTCTCCCTGGTCTCCAGGGGCCCGCCTGTTGGTATCACCCTAACCCCCGAGAAGGTCCCAGCCTGAGGCAGCACGAGGGGCCACACACGCCTTGGGTACGAGAGCACCCCCTGACCACGCGCGCCCCCGGGCGCAGCCAGTGGCCAGTCCACAGCGCTTGGTTAGGACCAAAAGAGTGAATGAGTGAGTGACAGGGCTGTACCCAGGCACCTGCTGCTGAAATAACCCCAGTGCAGGACACGCAGGAACAACGCCAGAGGCAGCAGGCGGTCGGCAGAACCGGTCACAGACCGTGCAGAGGGGCTCGGGGAGGGAGCGGGCGGGGCATCGCCAGGTAAAACGTTTTCCGTACAGAAACTAAACATACGCGTGGACACGCGAGGGCCCTGCAGCACGTGAAAGGAGGAGTCGTATTATCTTTTAATTCTATTTTCCACGAACTTTTTGAAGTACCCTCGTGCGCGTACACAGGAGGATGCCTGTATGAATGCCTACACACACGTGTGCCTACATGTGTTACCCACAGCACACACGCACACACACACACACACACACGTACAACTTCCTCCCAGATAATTGGGAAGTAACCATAAAACATGCCCCCAAAGCTTTTCCCCTGATTTCAGTTCCCAGCATCCTGAAATTCGTTTTTAGTTTGACACTAAAGGTTAGACAATCGTTTTGCAACTAATCCGCAGACCTAATTTCCTTCTCCCAACTACTGTTTTTGTCTTCAGAGCTGACAATCCATAATTTCACAGAAAACGGAAACCAAGGGCGATCAATCTCCAGATCCCTCTGCTGTCCTCCGCTGGCCGACCTCAGAGGGAGGAAATGCACCAAATAAAACCCCGGTCTTCACAGAAAACGGAAACCAAGGGCGATCAATCTCCAGATCCCTCTGCTGTCCTCCGCTGGCGGACCTCAGAGGGAGCAAATGCACCAAATAAAACCCCGGTTCAGGTGCCCACGCCCGCAGCCAGAGCTCCCGCAACATTCCCGCTTCTATGAGGTTTAATTCAGCTTCCCCCACCTTAAGTCCTCCACCAGAAAAACCCACCGGAGCTTTTTTCTTTCATTTGTACTGAAGCTTTCTGTTTCCCATTTCAAAGGAAGACTAATTCCAAAGCTGGAAATGGACTCCACTTCATTTTAAGGTTTTCTTTTCTTTTTTTTTAACTTAGAAGGCACATGTTAGGCACAGGGTCAGTGTCCTTCCCAGAGACAGACTGACAATGTCGAAGGGCTGGTGTTGGATCACAGCTCCAGGACCCTGAGCACCGAGCTGCTCTGAGAGCGTAATACACCACCTTCCTTGTCTCTACCCGCCGTCCGTGGCGTTACATGGACTCGAGGCTGCACACCACACTCGACCTCTCCACTGAGCTCCGTCGTCGGTGAGATGCCCCGTGAGATCGAAGGTGGTGGCCAGGGCGGCCAGTCCCCACGAGCCTGTGGCCGGCCTGGCGTTGCTCGCTGGCAGTGGCTGCAGGGGTCTCGGAGGGGAGACTGAACCTGAGCCTTTTACAAACACGAACCAAAATCCACCCATGAAGGAAATTCGTTGAGCCCCACACGTGAAAGAGGTGTTGGGAGGCCCCCGTGTGTCTGGTTAAATGACAGAAACGCACCAGGTGCCCAGCGGCACACAGCTGGGAGCACTGCCTTTGCGGCACCCTCGGGTCGTTCCACCTGCGGTGGGGTGGCAAAGGCTGGGCACGGCGTGGCATTCTGAGGACAAGGACAAGATTGGCAAGCCCCACTAGGGCTGGAGGCAGCCACAGCCGTGGCCAGAGGGACAGGAGCCCAGTGGGGAGGCGGCCGCTCTGGCAGGTCACTTTGCCCTTTGACCCAGGGCTCCCTGGCCAGGGCTCTGTGCCCCCAGGCAGTGCTGTGGACGGAGACATGACATCTGCTGCCCCCACCTACTGCTCCCCAGAAACACCAGAGCAGGGGTGGCGTCCCGCTGTCCTTGTGGAGGACGAGCAGGTCCCTTCCCTCCCGTGCCCACCTTGCGCCATGCTCCCTCCACAACATGTGTCGGCTGTGCTCGCCTCCTGGTGCCTGAGCCAGGCGCGCACAGGGGCTTCCTGACCATAGGTGGGAGCAGCAGGACGGTCACCACCCTGGCCTCAGGCCTCTCTGCCCGGCAGCACTCTGTCTGTGGGGAGGGCAGCTGGCCACAGCAGGGACAAGGGGGCCTCGGTGTCATTGTCTCGGTGTGAGTCCCACAGAGTCCCACGTGGCACCGTCGCCATGAGGACAGGACACCCACTCGCTCCCTACATGACCAGAGCCAGTCCCTTGCGGGCCTCGGGGAATCTCATAAAATACAGACAGCACTGCCTCTCCCCAGGGCCCAGAATCCCTGAGAAGTCTCCGCTGTGCTGGGTGTGGGGTCCCCGAAGGCCACCCAGCCTCCCATTTAGCTTTGATGCCTGTCACATACATACAGGTGGTCTCCAGAGCTGCAGAGAGGTAGGCACACGTGTCTGCCTTCAGCGTGGTTCCTTGGGGTAGGGGGTGTGGTGCGGGTTGTGGGTGCCCCTCCTCCTCTCCCCCATTTTTACCACTGCTCCCTGCACACCCACCTCCTGCCTCCTGCTCTCCAGCAGCTACCTCAGGGCCTCTGCACAGGCAGGGCCCTGCCCAGAGACATCTGATGGCCACCCCTCATCAATGCCACCTCACCACGCAAGTGGCAGCCCCCACCCGGCCTCCCTGGACCCCCATGCACCAGCAGCACTGGCAGGCACTGGTTCAGGTGCTACTGCCTGGCTCCCCACTAGCCCCTCAGCAGCTCCGGCACCAGGGCAGGCAGGGAAGTCTGTTGGTCAGAACACGGGCTCAGAGGGGTCTGTCTGGATTGGGGTCCCGGGTCCATGACTTGACCCTGCTGTGCCGAGGGCTGGGATGAAGGCCTGCAGGTGCCCCCTCAGGTAAGCCTCGACCACAGGGTGCAGCCAGCACCCCCTTCCCCAACGTTTGACAAGTTTGACAATCTTCTCTCTGGCTGCTGTAAAATTTTCTCTTATTACTGTTTTCAGCACCTTGGTTCGGACGCTCTCTGATGTGGTTTTCTTTACTCTGCTTGGAATGCACTGAGCTCCTTGGGTCTGTGATTTAAAGTTTTTGTCACAGTTGGAACATTGCGGCCATTATCTCCTGAAATACTTGTTCATTTCCGTCCTCCTACCGCTTCCTTCAGCGACTCCGTCCCACGCAGCTCAGGCGACCGACTCTGCTCGCGTCACTTTTGCGTGTCTTCTCTCCTGCCGCAGATCACTCCGCCTCTGCCGCCCGATCCGGCCGGTGTGCTGTTCACTCGGATGCCGCGCTCGGTGACTCCCAGTCCCGTCAGGGTTTCTGACGTCTTGTCCGCTGCTTGCCTCAGCACGGCCACATGTCCTCTGACTTACAGACACACGAGCATATTAGTCGTCGCTGTCTGGACGTCCTTGTCCACCAGCTCTGTCACCGCTGTTGCTTCCTGTCAATTTCTGTTGGTCTCTTTTCTTCTGATTATGAGTCAAAACCTCTCAATCCTTCGCATGCGTGAAAATTTTGACTGGATGCTGGACGTGTGGCCTTACGTTGTGCGTGCTGGATTTTTGTATCTTCCGTCACAGAATGTGGTGTTTTATTAGGGCGTGCAGTTCTGTGGACAGAAGCTTCTTCGCAGCTTCACAGGGAAGGCCTCGAGCAGCCTGTGGTCTAGGCGTCCAGCCCCAGTGAGGTGACTGTCCCTCACGTGCCGGGTGGCAGGAGGCCTTTCTGCTCTGGCCGATGGGAGCACAAACTATTCCCAGGCCTGCCTGAGCCCCAAGAGCGTCTGTGCTCACACCCAGCCCCTCGCACGTGTGCAGATCAGCGGTGGGCCTGCGGGGACCCTCCTGTGCACGCCCACACTCTTCCTGAGCAGCGCCTCCTCCCCAGCGGTCACCGAGGCCACCTGGAAATGGCCTCCAGCCGCACTTGGTTTCAGTCTGCCTCCTTCCTCAGGGGTGGCTGTCCTGTGCAGACGTGGTCCAGACACCGTTCTCTCAAGTCTTCGCTTGCTCGAGGTGGAAGGCACACACGGTCCTGTTGTCCCCCTTGGCCAGATCAAATCTCTCAGCATCGGCTTCTCAGGTCCTCAGTAAGCCCCTCGGTGCCTGTAGCAGCCTGACCCACGTCCCTCCCCTTCCTCGTACACAAACTCAAACACTTGATTTCCCAAGGTACGTTTTAAGAGGTTGTGGACAGAGCCATTCACCAGCATGTGGGCAGCGGTGCTGGGATTCCCTCCCGTGTCCTGTGAGCAGAATGCACTGGGATCACAAGCACGGGTCCTCAGTGTGAGGGGGTCCCTCACACACTTCCCTGCCTCTGTGTCAGCAACCCCTGGTAACAGGGCGGCCAGTCTCTGCAGCTCAGAAGCCGATGCTGGCACGCCCCCTGGGACATGAGACACTGGACCGCGAGTGGCTGTCTTGGGGTCTCGGTGTGCCCCTTCAGGCTGGGATCAAGGCCGGCTCTACCTCCACCAGTGTCTAGCCAGGCCATGACGAGGTCCAGGTGGCTTCTAAACTCAGAGGCACTGATGTCTGACCCAGGACTTGGCAAGAAGGTGTTTAGGAGCCCTCTGGGAGTTGACTGCCTTGGGATTGGCTGACCCTGGCCCTGACTTGCTCAGCAGCGTGTCACCATAGGTTGGCCGTCCATCAAGGCTGGGAGACCCACCATGAACCCACAGTCAGCCTGGGGTGGGAGTGGAGGGCTACCAAGAGTGCTGCATCCACCCGGGCTGCCTGGAGGCAGGCCCAGGACAGCAGGCCCCGGCTCTGGGCCCCTCCTTTGCTTCGACAGGGATCCTGGGTCTGAAGCAGCATTTGGATTTTCTTCTGAGCTGCAGCATGATGTGAGCCAGGCAGCGTCTGCAGGTGCACAGCACACCGAGACCCCAGGGTCTGACAGGGAGGGCGCACACACACAGGTGGCAGGAGGGCACTGGGGGTGTCCACGGGATGGTCCCCACCCTACAGAAACCCTTGGGGACGTGTCCTCAAGGGGGACTGGCTTCCAGGGCCAACTGGCTGGGGAAGAACTACGGGTTCCTGCCTGAGAGCTGCTGGCCAAGGGCTTGGGGATGTCCCTGGGGAGAGCACCCACATCCTGGCAGCACGCACCAAGCCACATCTGCCGGCCTTTGCAGGACCAAAGGCATGGGACGCCCTGGGCTCAATCCCCACCCCAGGCCTCGGCCACGAGTCTGCACCACGGGACACTTGGCTGGCCTGGGCTCCTGCCCTGGGGTGAGGGGTGCCATCCACCCACAGCTATTCTGAACCAGCAGACGCGAGCAGCTCTGCGGGGACGTGCCGGGCACTTCCCCAGGAGCTTTATACCTGTGGCTGCATTTCGCTCCTCAGGGCTGTCCTGGACACACGTTAACACCCCGGCTCCCGGAGCAGCACACTGTGCATCTCGGGCCTTATCCCCAAACTCCCCGCTCAGTGGGGAAAACCAGGCCTGGGCAACCCCACAGCAGGGGTAACAACCACTTCCCTGACAGGGGCACTGGCTTTCAAATGCAAATAGCTAGGATCTTGGTGACCTGTTTCCCCACCTGCAAGTGGGGCATTGGACTAGACACTAAGTGGATGTGGTCTGTGTCCACACTGTCCTCAACAACAGTCACTGCCGGCCACACTGAGTTCTGGAAATGCGGCTGATGTGACAGACACCGAGTTTCCAATGTGACCTCACTGTGATTTTATACTTGAACAGCCGCCTGTGGCCCACGGCTGCCGGTGGACGGCCCAGCTCAGAAGGGCCCGTGTGAAGCATGGCTAAGCAGGGTGCCACCTCCTCTGAGACTGCAGTTTGGGGAGGGGACAGCACCTGCCAGGCCTGGCAGTTTTCATATTTCACAAGGAATCACCCACAACATTGGAACAGGGGACAGTGACCGCCCACGGTGTCAAAAATCTCTCATTTTTGAACATGGAGGTTTTGCTTTTCGGATCGGCAGGAATCCCTTCAGACGTTAGAGAGGGAGTCAGGACGTCACTCTGGGTTTCTATGGCTCTCGTTCTTATGGGCATGTGACCTGCTCCAAGTGTGTAAGTCAGAAACTAGGGACAGCACCGCAGGGCTGGGACACAGTGAGAATGCGTGTCACAGACGAGGACAGACCCGCGTCCTGAAACACCGACTGCTCCCTCCCTCGCCAGGGCCACGTTTGTGCTCCACGAAAAGCCACACCTCGTGCTCCCGTGTCCCAGGCCCCGGGGGACGTACCCACATCTACTCCTCAGCTGCAGACGCCGGCCGCCCCCTCCCCAGAGGGGCGCCGACCTGACCCAGGACAGAGCGGCGCCTGCCCCCGCTTGTCGACCATCCTACGGTGAGATCTGTGCGGGCTCGTCGCTGCTGTGATGTCCACGTGCTGACGAGCAAGCTCATGCCACACTGCAGCACGATGCGGGACGTCTGTGACTTCCCTTAGTGGCCATCGTGGGCACGGCCTCCCTGCAGCGTCCTTGCGGGAAGGACAGGGACGACACAGACAGACGGGATCTCCCCATCCAGGCACGTGAACCCGTGGGCCCTGGTGAGAAACCCTGAGGGCCAGAGTCCACGAGAGCACACCGCCAAGGCCTCCCTGCCCACCTGCGTGTCCCACACACGGACCCCGGAGAGGCCTGGAATTGCCCGTCACTTCTGACCTTCCCAACCCGGCCCAGGGGTACAGCCAGCGGTTTTCTGTCTTTACACAGTCACAATTGTGTCCATTAGGAACGAGAGGACACAGTGAAACCATGACGCCGTGGGAGGGGGAGGAGCTGGGGAGAGGGTGGCCCGCAGTGTCCCAGCCCAGCGGCCTCGTGGAGGAGTCACCCTGAGAACAGCACAGCCAGGAAGTGCCAGCAGGCCGGGGAGTGCTGGGGGCCTGCGTGGCCCGGGGCTGGGGCGCAGGGAGGGGGGTGCGGTTTGCATTCCTACCCCGACTCCGGGCCCAGGAAAACCTGCTGCACAAGGGGGCTCCCAGTGGATTCGGGGGAAGGGGTGAGGGGAGAACGGCGTGGGGCGGGGCAGGGGCAGGCCGACCTTCCCCGAAAGGTCCTGAGGAGCACGGGTGCGGGCCTCCGTCCCTTCCTCTCCCAGCAGGGCCGGCTCTGGACAGCATCAGCCTGTTCCCACAGACCCTGTCCCAAGTCACAGCAGCAAATCCACCGGAACCTTCCACAGGTGTCCTCCACCTGTGTGGCAGACGCGCTAGCCGTGGGTTTGAATGAACTGTCCCTCACGCTTCAGGAGGCTCGAGCGTTGAACAACCGTGTGGGTCTGGAATGTCCCAGCGCCCTGCCCCAGGGGTGTGGGAGGTGCCTGTCACACTGGCCCAACCCCCCAGGTGGGCAGCTTCCTGCAGGGCCCACAGCTGTGTGTCCTGTCCCCAGGCCGTGGACAGCGAGGACAGGACCCACAGCACAGTTGCAGTTCTCCAGAATGTTCTAGAAGGCCATGGGGCAGGGTTGGGTTCCCGTCGCCACCTGCTCTTGCCAGTGCTTAAGGCAAACAAACAGGCACCGATCGCAGACACGGGCCAGGAACTCGGGGCTCAGACCCGAGGTGTGTCCAGGCTGTGGGTCGCCCTGGCGGGCGGGGAAGGTGCCTTGTCCCTGGACAGCGGCCTTCCCACATGCAGACCAGACGCCACCCACTCCTCCTGCAGAGATTTTATCTGAAGCATGTGTGGAGTTGGCTGCTCTGGAGGCTCAGCCTCTTTTCAGGAGATTCATCAAAACAAGCTGAGTTGTGTGTCCTCTTCCCCATGATCTCTGAAACACAGTGTTCCCTTCAGAGCGAGACCCACCCCCACGTCAGGAAAACAGGCCCCAGGATTCTAGGGCAAGTGAGAGGCCAGTCCTGGAGCCAACCAGAGCAAATGGGACCACCCCTGCCCTGCACCCTCCTCCTGAGCAAGCCCCCGAGGGGCCCTGACGGCCCAGCCCACAGGGGACTTGTGTCCCAGCACAGAGAGAGCAGAGACCGAGGACAGCTTTGGGCGCCAGGAGGCCCCTGGCCTCAGGCTCCATGGACGGGGCAGGGCGGGCTGGGAGGGGCATGCAGGCTTGAGGTGAGGTGTACGTGTGGGCAGGGGGCCTGGCGGGCATTGTTAGGAGGGACAAGGGCCTGGATCCCAAAGAAGCAAGACACCCAGCTCCAGCCAGCTGAGGGGCACAGCCAGCCCTGGGAAGGTGGAGTAAACGGAGAGGGGGACAGGGGTCTGCACGGGCACCCAGCCAGCTGTTGTGGGGCAGCAACCAAGCACCCCCTTGGCAGCCCACAAGTCCAAGAGCAGGGTCCAGGCCAAGCCAGGACTGTGTGAAGCCCCTGCAGAGCAGGGGGAGCAGAGGTGGGGTAGGAGTGAGAGGCACCGATCACTCCATCTGCACTTTCACCCCAGATGGAGCCGGGAGAGTGCTGCCAGGAGGGCCACCTCACCCAGCTGTGTGGACCACAGACGGGCAAGGGCGAGGCAAGAAGCTTCGGGGTCTCCATCTTGGACAAAGAGGGGGTGCCAGAGAACAGGGGCTCAAGGTGGCAACGGCAACGTTTTGTACTGAGCCGGGGAGGGCTGTGGGGCACAGGTTTGGGAGAAATGTCAGGAATTCAGGCCTGAGCACACAGAGGTGGCAACATCTTGGATCCAGGTGACCTGTGCAGTGGGCAGCTGGGCAGCTGGGCAGCTGGGCAGCTGTGTGGGGTGAGGGGGAGGCCACCTGGACAGAGACATCTAACATGCAGCTGCAGAGGGTGGGAGGAGACCCTGAGTTTGGGGCTGAGTGTTACTGGTGCAGGACAGGGGCTGGTGTCAGAGAGACCAGGTGACTGGGACGGGCCTGGGGACAGACGGGTGCAGATCCTGCTCCCAACACCAAGCACGGAAATGCTGCTTCACCAGCACATGGCAAAGAAAATCCTGGAATCCCACAGCCATGAGCTGATGGGCGGTGTCCACCTAGTCCTGGGATTACGCCACAGCACTCAGAGGAGATATCACAGCCACTTAGAACACTCCCTATCCACCATCCGGGGTTGGCCAGTCTCAGGCACGAGAGGCTGCCTGAAGAGCAGGTTCGAGGGAGCAGTCCCCACCCCGGAGTCCCCCACCCAGGGTCTCAGAGGACAGCAGAGCTTGCTGTCCTGGGGTGGACCAGAGATTCTGCTGTGATGGTGGTACAGGTCCCCACCCCGGAGTCCAGCACCCAGGACCCTCGGAGGACAGCAGAGCTTGCTGTCCTGGGGTGGACCAGAGATTCTGCTGTGATGGTGGTACAGGGGGACAGCGCAGAGAGGCTGAGAGGCCCACACACCAACCACGGCAGGCAGGGCCAGCCAGGTCCCCAGGCAAGACGGAAGGAGGTGGCAGGCGCCACCGGGATGGGCAGCTTCCAGCTGCTCCTTTTTTTTGGCAGCTGGCCGGTACGAGGCTCTGAACCCTTGACATTGGTTGCTTCTGGGCAGATTCTTGTAGAGAACTGGGATGAGGTCAGGTCTTTTATTTCAAGCAGACAGAACCGTAGCTGGGTCCCATTTCTTCCCTAGCTCTGGCGGACGTCCCCTCAGTACCAAGGACCTCAAGGTAGGACAAAGCCTTAGGAGGGTACTGCCACAGCCCCACCGCACCAAGAGTGACAGGACGGAGGGGACGCCTGCCACAATGAACTGGTAGGTTCCAGAAGACGGGGATGCCTGCCGCAGCTGCACCCCAAATTCACACCCACCAAGACACCCAACGGTTGTGTTAAAATAATATCCTGTTTGAACTTTTGTACTAAAATATGCTGTGCTTTTTAGCTTCTCTGATTTCAGAGCTCAAAACTAGTTCGGATTTCCTTGGAAGATTCTGCAGAACCAAAGGAAAACAAATCCTTCCCCTCTTGCTGCCAACAACGGGTCATCCTCGTAAGTAAGTTCCAGCTGTGTGTAGCAAGCAGAATTGAACAGACCCAATTTGTTTAACGTTGGCACGAAAGGCTGCCAGCAGGTGCCCTGCCAAACATTCCCCACACGGAAGTATATTGAAGTGCCCGGGCCCCGTAGCGGGCTCCACGAGGCTGCTGACTGACGGCGGCGGGGCCGCTCCCATGAGACACCCGGCCTGCACTGGCCTCCACTCCAGGACAGCACCGCCAGCGCGCCCAGCGGCCACCATTACACTTGCAGAAGAATCTGGCATGCGGGTGGGATCGTGCCCACCTTCCATGGAGACCTGACGGTGGCCGCCCCACTCATTCGAGGAGACACTGCCCCCCACCCCAGTGCTGCTTTGGCTTGGCCCAGCGTCCTCACCTCAATGAGGCAGACCCGGGCCCATGATGGGACCTCAGATGCCGCTGGCTGGCCCGAGGGAGCACACGGGAGCCCACTGCTCTGAACCTGTGCACTCGGCAGTCACACCAGGCGATGACCGGAGACACAAGAACAACCACGAGGCGCCCACTGAGCAAAAGCCCTCGGCCTGGGGTAGTGGCTGCCCAAACCGTGTCTGGAGCTGTGGCCCGCTCACCATGAGGAGACTGCCCAGGGCAACACACCGAAGGGACCCTGCAGCTGCTCCGTAAATCCCGGGACCCCGGGCTCAGGGGCTCCTCTCCTGAGGCTGCAGGGCCTGCCCTGGACCCTACCTGGCTCTGGTTGTCAGGGGAGGGTCTGCTGCCCCCCTGCAGGCCTGTCCTGAGTGTCGGAGGAGCCAGGGGTGGGGGAAACTTTGGAGTTGTGTGTGCAGGGGAGGGGAGGAGAGAGCTCCATCTGCCCCCAGGGGCAGCATGCCCCTGCCA